GAGCTTCTTTGGTCGATGGTTCGGTTTAATTGTCGAGGGGTGTCGGTTTAAGATAAACCATAAAACCATATTATTTCGCTTTTTGTTTGAAAAAATTCAAACTTAGCTTCGAACCTTTTTGCATTTAGATTCAACCAGATGCGACTCTGACGTTTTTTCTTCCCGAAAAAGTGTTGCTGAGGAAGTAAGTTTAACATCTTTATGGCGAAACAATTTTTCTTATCAGCCTTCAAGCGGTTTATCGTCACTGAGAACGCGGAAGGGAGGCTTTGGCACAAAACTTTTTAAGTCTTTCCTCCATTTTTGCATCCTAGAAATTGGTCTAAATCATCAGCTCCATTGAATGTGTGATCTGTTCAGTGGAGTGGGGGGGGGGTCAACGTGACAAATGCGTGCTGGCAAAGGTTATCAATTCTCAATGCGTGCAGCTGAGTTTCGTTTAACTGAAATTTTACTTTTCGTTGTGGGTTTTTCTCAGTTGCAGATGTTCCTCAAGCTTTTGATGTTTCGGTGCAGCGCAACGATCCTAATCACTGATGATTTGGAAAATAATTTTGTTAGTCGGGTGATCACACAGTTCCGCTTTTTTATCTCACACAGGCGTTCTTCAAGGTAGAGAGGTTACTTGACTTCGGAAATGATTTTCTCGTTCGTAATGATTAGCACAGTCAGAGCCAGAAGGTGCAGACCACATGACCAGATATCATAACTCACTCATCTCTCTACCATGACGAACGCCTGAGAAACACGGACCAGTCGTCGGTGATGATCGCTAATTCGATTGACCAGACTGCTTTTGTCTGTAATATGTAAAGTGCTGTTTTTTTCAGTATGACCACCAATGCATGACTTAAATTCAGTGTTTCGAAAAGCTGGAAAGACAAATTTGAGGCTTTGTTAGCTTGTGGAGCATGATCGACCTTATAAACGACATTCTTCATCTACCGTTGATGTATTTGAGGCATAGCGTCAGACATTTCACAGTATAGTAGATATTCATCAGTTGTAAATTTTCAGACTAACTAACCAACTTCAAGAACAGTGATTGTGGTTAAACTTTATCTGCCTGAATTGAAGCAGACAAACACATCAAAATCAGTGCCGCCGGTAAACTCATGCAAGATTAAGTTTCAACTAACGTGCCTTCACCCGCCACCATTCGATCTTCTGAGGAATTTTATACGCACTATCTTATCGTAAAACTGAATTTGTCCATATAGAAATTTGAAAATACAGAATAATCGTATGTGTGTAACTTTAAATAGTTCTGTAACGCAGCTTATCTCGAAAATTCATATTCATATGTATGCATTCAATCTTGACAAGCTTTTGCCTGCACGCAGTTTTCTATGACGCTCTTTCATTAAGTCGTCAGATGTGTGCATAATGCTGTAACTTATTCCACTGTTTTGGATGTTGCTGTCTCTTTCGGTTAACGACGGCAGCTGCTTCAGAAGAATTTTTCGATTGTTTTTGTTATCCACCAATCAAGGAAACGCCGTAGGCTGAGTTCGAGGGTATGATATAGTCTTAAGTAAGCAATCAATCCGTTTACTCCTTGGCCGCTTTCCAGGTGATACTGTTTGTGTCTGTTTTACGAGTCTCTCTTTGAGATCATGATCACAAGACAGTTGCCTGGCGCAGCTGTCGTCGTTCATCTCGATAAGGTGAGGCTCAAAACCTAAGCTGCGAACTGCCACATTTCGAACATTATCGAGCCATTCACACCAACAATTTTTCCATGCTCATTTTTGTCGTTTATGTTCGGGATCAGCACGGTAGGTGCGTATTCATGCTTGACACAAGATTCGTTTTATGACCTACTTTGTTCTTCATCGTCACGTACCTGTTCACTTCCCGCATTACAGCATTCCTGGCTGATCCGTGTCTTATCTGACGTCCTGTCTATCGTCTCTCGTGAATGCTACCTCGAGTGCGCATTGAGTGATCTTTCTCAAAGGTACAGAAGCCTGTTTGTCCAGGTGGGTTAACATTCCGGCCTCATCGCTTGTACTGGCGAAGCTGTCAGACGCAGTTTGAAGTCATCGTTAGTTGTTACATGCATGCATGACCGGATTAAGCCTTCAACAAATGATTGTCGAACCTCTGAGGATTTTTTTTCCTAGGCTACATCTGCTTATCCAGTGAATCATAAAAGAGAAGTCAACACTGTCCTTGACGAAGATCAACAAGAAAAGAATTTTGGTCTATGATTAGTCAGTCAAAGACTTTTGAACCAAAGGTTTTTGGTAGGAGAATTTGCGACCTTTCAGTTTGACATTAGTATTATTCTTCACATTATTCAATCGCCTTTCATGCTGAACTAATTGCCATAAACATTTATTAGTAATTTCTTGAACAGTATTTAAACTGCTTTCGCCTTAGCGATGAAACAGTTTTGATCGGTTTCTCTGCCGTTTGTTTATCCAGTTTTCATATACTAGGTTCTCTGTCATCTTCGTTAAATGGTGACAGTGTCTTGTAGGATGACCGCGATCGACACCCAATCTGTTGTTCTTCATCTATCTTCATTCCGTGGTTACGCCGCTAATTGACTGTAGCGAATTGGTACGTCAGGGTTACAAGGAATCTATACAGATATTGCCGTTTGTTCAGATGGTTAAGGAAAAGAGGGGAAGTTTTACTCTTTTTCTTTCATAAACCATTTTTTTACCTGTTTCAAACCTTGGTTCGGTCGTATTCTTTTTGTTCATACGGTTTAACCGTTGAGACCAGTTTCGATTCTCTTTGCTTATTTTCCTATGACTATTGAGTTGTTTCGATTTTCACTTCGGTCTACAACAGGACTTGTCTTCCTCTGTTAAAACAATAGCATGACGAAAACATTTCAATGCGCTTTGATGATGGATTAATAGAACTTTACAAACACCGCCACCTTTCCTTTCCAATTTCTTGCCAAATTGCTCTCCATTCAAATATGATTGCCTAAATAGCCTAAATGGAGATCTTTCATATCATCTGGCCTAAGTCAAACATTTCAGTCTTGCTCGAAATGGAGAATACTACGAACCGCATATAATTTTGGATTCTTTGAAAGATTATAATTTTTATTTGCCTTCATATATCAGCACTTAAGTTTTAGGTTTGCTATCCTGATGGCGCTAAAAGACAGATAAAGTTTTCATCGCCGGATGAAACTTCGTCTTTCGCTTCAAGAAGTCATGGCGAGTCGGGTTATAATCCATTGGGAGCCTCAACATTAGCTAGTACATCGCTGTCCGATTCGATGCTAGACGCTGATTCCATTTTGGTCACTTCCTCAGAGGTAGAAGACAAGAAGAAGAAAAAGGGTTCCCTGATAGGAAACTTATTCAAAACAAAAAAACGCGAATCAAAGGAATTTGTCTGACCGGTGGCTGCCATTGTTTCCTTAGAACACTAGTTTGCTCTGATTCCGTCGTTTGTTTTTCTACTTCCTCATACCAGCAGTGCTACCAAACAGATGGAATGGTGCTCATCGTATGCCGGTACATTTGTGCCTTGCCCCTTACATGTAATACAATGTATTTTCATAGTTGTTTCATACTGTCATTACCTTGGTTGTTTCTTGTAATCCCGAAATCATCAGCGAATGATCTGCGAAGATTTTTGATTAAATTAATCTTTTGATCAATCAATCAAGTTTTTGTCAATTTGTGGCAAACAAATTTTTAATTACCTTTCTTAAATGGAAATGGTGGTGTTAAATGTGGTGTATACAAGCGGCTTTAAAACTCACAGGATAAAAGCTTCACCACCGAGCATCAACCCTCATGATTTTCAAACACAGGCTTTAAATTCGGCTGTGTAATCATATAAATCAGTTACCTTACCGTAATATCACAAACAAGAGTAACATTATTCTGACGGTGCAAATTTTTCGGTAAGCGTGTTTCATAGCCTCATATCAGCATTTTAAAATTTCGAAACGTTTGCTACAAACCATTTTAGGAATAATCCTTCCTAATAGGTTGAAAGCTAGGCAAGTCGATAGGCTAAACTGTTAATACAATGGGCGGTAACTTCGTATTCGCAGAATGAAAGATTAGATATAATTATAACCCACTAAGGACTCCATCGAAATATAAGATGAAAGATATTTATTGATTATTCCAGTGTAAGACACTCGCTTAAAAGTGCAACCGGAACATTAATGAAGTGCACTACAATATTGCTTGATACGTACAAAAGGATATTCTTCATGTACCTGAAAATTTTTAACAGCGGAATTTTACTGTAAATACCGAATTCTTCAGTAATTTATAATGTGAAGAAAAGATCCTGAGTACCATTCATGCGATTCCCACGTATGGAAAAAAGCTAGTATCGCGACGCTTCCGTTTAAGGTACGTTCGTTGATTATCTGCTCTTCGACTCGCGTAAAGCCACAAAAAGATCGACGGCCGTTTCTAAGGTTACCCTTAAGCGAAGAATCTGTAGTGTCGCTACGACCTACGAGCGCGCTTCCGTTCCTTTAATTTAAATAAATAGAAAACCACAAATAATTTCACATAAACCATGGAGAAAACCAGCAGTAGTTCAGATTTTGTTGGGCTAGAACGCTGTCGTTGTTATCCAAAAGTTTTGTGATAGGCGCTTGATACCCAGGGCAAAATGACACCTAACAACGTGAAACGAAAGGAATCAGTGAAAACTTCTTGAATGCAATGTTGCACGAAATGTTCAGAAAGAAGTAATTGCTCTGTAAATAGAAAACGCAAATACCAATGGGAAGCTGCTGATACATTTGGTGATATACCAAATCTGTTGCTACCAATGTTCTAATCAAAAAGGGCAAGTTATAATAACTGTTCATTCTATAAATTTGAATTAAAGACTGAGAATACAGATTCGACTGACCGAACATAAATTTTAAGCAAGTTAAGGAAATTATTGATGATGTTCACGAGAAAAATTTTGAAGTCACGCGACTTTTGACATTTACTTTCATGTAATGATAAAGAAGGTATTTAATTTACAATTATCAATTACAAAGTGTATTGCGAATGGAAAGGAATGGCGCAAATACACATGGAAATGTCTGCAGTGAAAGCAGATTTAAGTGCAACGACTAGCGACGCATGACTTGCCACACTTCAAAAGATTTCAGTTACTACCGTTCGTCGTTTCCATGTCTGAAGCGAAAATTACGTCCTCCTCCTCCGTTCTCTGTCTCCGCGTTTTCTGCTTGTTCAGCTCCCAAAACTAAAAAGCCCATTTCTTAATCAGTAAGCGTGTGCAGCACAAATTACCTGAATGTAAGATTCCGTCAGCGTTATCATCTGAGGTAAAATCTCCTTTACGTGAAGGTCTTCAAGCTCGAACCACTTTCCGGTGCCCTGCAGGAATAAAACGTTATGTCCGTCATATCTGCGGTATGTTACTCATTTTTTACGATTATTTATTAGGCATCATGCTTATAACGCCCTCATCGACTACACTTACTTACAGACTATACCGGCTTCTATCCCGCAATTCCCTTTAAAATGAAGAGATCTACAAGGAAAAGTAGTTTTCCGGCTCTATAAATGAACTGTACAACACGGTATATATCGAACCTCCATGTAAAGAAAGACTCTTCTCCAAACTCAGATTATCATCTGCCGAAGTTTAAAGCAGGCTCAGGTTCAGGAACGGTGGAGACGCTGTCTGGTTCTATGACCGGAAAAGATAAGTGGCTATGGAAAGTGACTGAATATCAGGCAAGTTAGGCCTTTACCTAGAACCCCTACTTCAATAATCACTCATTAGAAGTATTCATCATACAGAGAAATCTTCCGGCACTGAAGTTACTTACAACTGGGAGCTAGCCATAACGAAGTATTTTTCTTTGATCCATGCAGTGCACCGCGTATCCGAAAACATTTCAAAACCCACTTTAACAAAGAGAATACTCTTCTATAAAGAATCCATTAGCATCTCACTTCAAAACTAGCTTCTGAATGCAAACTTGCAAGCACAGATCAAAGTCGACGTGCAACTCAGTTCAAATGATTGCAAAGATTCATCACATCAGAACAACATACACAATGAC